ATATTTTATAAAAAATTCTGAAAATTTAATACCATATTAAAATTCCGGAAATTTTTGCTTATTAAAATTTCCTGATGTAATATTATTTTCTCCACCGCTGTTATTAGTCTCTTCCGGCTTATTATCGTCTTCTTTTATATCTTTAAATTCCACTGTTTTGCTAAAATCATTTTTCATTTCTGACCATTCATCATCGATAAACAGTTTCTTGACTTCTGTATCTTTCTCAGATAAATCAAGTATTCCAAAAAATGCAGAACTGGCAAATAAACATTGAGATATGTGATGATAGAGAAAATCTTGTAACTGGGTTACTAAAATAAATGCTCACTATAAGTAAGCCTTTGATTTTGGAATTGTTGATCTAAAGTTCTCCAAAACTTGAGAGACGTTTTTTCTTGTTGAGAGAATCCACACATTAAATGGAGAACTTTTCCACTTGTACAACTTCTGGTTAGAAAATTTCTTCAGTTTCACTCTTTTTTGATTAACAAAAAAAGTCAACTTTTCAAAGCATATTTGATTCTAATGACAGGTAAAATCCAATTAACCAATAAAGGTGTGCAAGGGGAAAGTATTTTTTTACCTCTTCATTTGAGAAATTTATAGTCTTAACATCTGAGATTTCGTCATCACAGTCATACACTTCTTTGTTTTTGTGACCTTTGAACTTATAAGTTGTAAAGATAACTTAGAATAAGTGATGTTGATAGCATATTACACCATAAAAAGAAATACAGATTAAGTACAAACCAATTCAGACGGTATGTTATCTATGTTATATTCTTCATGACGAATTCATTTTTCACTAGACAATGAGACTTCTTCATTGTCTTCCCCTATTCATTTTTTGCTCACAGCGTTTCGTAAGAATTCTGAAAACTTACGTTCTGTGAATATTGTTGAATCGAGTAGTCGAATTCTCTCAGAAATCTGCTTGTCCAGGCTTAGTTGATAGAATTTGTTATAGAGTTTCTCACAACTTTTCTTTATAGCATATCCTTCAAAAGTTTTACAAATTTCAAGGAGGTCTTTGCAAAATACAGTTATACAGCTGGGAGTCTTTCTAATACTATTTTTTACAATAAGATTCAGAGATTTTTGCCAATCGTTGTAAACAGTAGACCATGGTAAAATTATTTTATCAGATTTGAGACGAAACTCTAAATAGTGTTTAAATTGCCAAAATTGTACCTCTGCTTTCTTAAAGTAAATGTGAGTATTATTCTCTTCAGGTACCGTATAACCCAGGTATGCCTTCGTTCTAAGAACTGCAGTCATGATTAAAAAGTATACAGAGCTGGGACTGGTGATTAGCCGTAATAAAGTAGTACTATAATTTCATGCATCGAATTCTCTGGTGATTTCATCATCTCATATAAGTACTTTGAAGTTACACAATCCCGTTACCACCCAATCAAATTGTATTACCGTTATATTATTTATATTATTGGTTACAAGTCACGAAAGTCTCTTGAATAATTAAGCTAAAATAAAGAGGGTGCGATTATGCCGAAGTTTTTGCATCTGTTCTAGGCAATTGGCAGCGAGAACTTCTTTTGGTATATTTACCTTGGAGAAGCCATACTTCATGTCTGTTCCAGGCAATTGGCGGTGAAGTTATGAATCGCTTGATGACTAGCAACTGTTTGTGTCTGTTCCAGGCAATTGGCGGCAGCAGTTGATTCGCTGACTTTGCTGAAGTCCCTCGTGTCTGTTCCAGGCAATTGGCGGCGAGAACTTCCCTTGGTATACTTACCTTGGAGAAGCCATACTTCATATCTGTTCCAGACAATTGGTGGTGAAGTTATGAGTCAGTAGATATTCAGGTCATTTCTTGATGGTCATCGGCCTCTTATTAGCAAAATTACGAAATATATATATCAAATCATATGATACTGCATGTATATAACCTCGTTCGAAATTTTTTTAAAATATAACTTTATTGATATCGATATGTAAAAATTATTTATAACAAAAAATTTACAATGTAAAGACCGGTCTATATTGGCAGAATCGTGGAGTAGGGGGCAAAGAGGGAGGAATAAGCTGGGATCCTAGGCCCCTTCACATTGTAAAGAAATGACTGTTCTTTCCCTACTCCATATTACTAGCTAAGTTATTATCATCATTATTATCTAAAATTATATACTACTGCTACTTAATAAATTGTTTCTACTACTATTACTAATTATAACGGAACTATCTTTTTTCTTTCCCTCTCTCTTGATCCAAGCTTCGATTTTGTCTAATGAGGTACGTTGCGGTGATTTCTGATGCCGATAAAAGCTGGACTGAGATTAATTTCTCCAGATAAGACATTATATATTTTCGTGGGAGAACGTTTTTCTCTTTTTCTTCTCTCGTCAAATAGGGCAGTAAATTCAATCCAGAGAGTTTCTGTTCCATCAGAATATTTGGATCTGTAACTTTGCGCAGATGCTTGCCTTAGATATAAAATATGTGTTAATAGATATCTGAAATGCTTGTTAAGTTTATAATGTAATACTAACCTTAACTTCAGGCTTCACTTCTCCATTCCGTTTCATTTTGCATTCTATTCATATCATTTTTTAGAGCCAACATATTTCGTTTTAAGT